ACAATTGATGTATGTATGGATTGTGATAAGAGTTGTATGAGCCCCGAATAAAATTATTTTTAAAAAAAGAGAAAAAATGATTTAAAAAAAAAGGAAAGCACAAGAGAAAGGTGGGCCAGAGCTATGACTAGAAATCTGACAATTCAAACAGCGAATGAACATATGAAAAGATGTATCACTGAAGGGAAATATACACTCAAGCAGGGGTGAGTTTCACCACCCCCACCTCCTTCCCGCCCCAAATCAGGTGCCTGGAACCCTTCATGGGCCCGGTTTTCCTTCAGGGGCACAGGACTTCCTCCAGCGCTTCCTGTGGCTTGTTGCATGACCCTCTCATCTGCCCATGTCCTCTCTCTGTCCCCCTGGGTCTTCATGCTTTGCTGCTTGCTCTTCCGAGATTCTTCAAAACTAGCTCCACACATTCATGGTTTTCAAAATCTATGCTGTTGGTGTTTTTGGTGCAGGAGGTGGAAACCTCCACGTGTACAACAGGGCTTCAAAAAGCTCGTGGAAAAATGTAATGAACCGAGCATGGAATATGCTTGTGTGTACATGCTACTTCTGTAGGCGCAGACACATAGATCTGTAAGGGTGCATCCATGGAAAAGTCCACAGTGACACACTGAGATGCGATGAATGGTTCTCTCAGCTTAGGGGATTTCTCTCCAAGACACAACGAAACCCTAAACTCACTGCCCCCTAGTCAGTGCCGACTCTCGTGGAGACCCTGTAGGACAGGGTAGAAGTGCCCCTGTGGGGTTCTCGGAAGACCAGTCTTTCCCCCGCAGAGAAGCCGGTGACACTGAACGGCTGACTTCACTGAATCACTCCGTCACATGGGATTCACTAGGTCTTTTAAAATGTAACTTAAAAGACCATCCACTACATTTACAACTACAATGTTGCACAGAAAAAGAACCTAAAATGTGAAAACAGGAGTGGCAAAGATTTTACACAGATTACCATTTAACCCTAGATTGGAACACTACACAGCCTTTAGAAATCACGTTGGCAATCACAGTTAGCAATATGGCAACATTTTCATCACTGGATGCCAGGTCAAACCGCGGCAGATGCCAGAGAGACGGTCGACGAGTCTCCTGCCAGTTCCAGACATTACATTTTAAAAAGAAAGGAAGTCGACTGTCTGCGCCTCGAGAAAAGACTGGAAGGAACTGCGTCTCGGTGTGTCACCTGCGCACCTCGCAGGTGTCGACCGAAAGGTGAGTTTTCGCGTTCGGTGCGTCGGCATCTCCAAGCGAGCGTCATTCTGCCGGGATCACCACGATACATTCACAAACAACCAGTTGCTAGTCGCCGGGGTAAGCGG